TATTTATTTGTTTAAAGAATAACCCCTTGAGATGCAACATCTCATTTTCAAGGGGGTCCTTAAAGAGAAAAAGCATAACAATGATGATACAGACAACTAACTTCAGGTTACAATATACAACACAAAAAATCATACACAAACATTCATACTGCTCTCTTTACCTGTATTCCAAATACAATCCCTCAAGATGTACTGATGCAAAAAATAAAAAGTAAAAATAAGAATTAGACAGTTACAAAGAGTCAAATCAAAAACTTTGACATGCATTCTGTTGATAATCACATATATAAGCCTTAAAAGAATTAAAAGATAGATCTAATTGTATTAGGTCACTTATTCCAATCTGACGGTGCTTTAAACTCAAATGCCCATCAACCAACTTCCTTATTCATTTTGGGAACATAAAAAAATAAGTGTTCAGTATTCCTTAAGCTAAAGGATGAACTAAATAGGATTAAGTAATGTTTCAAATAATAAGGATAATTTAAGAAATGGCATTTAAAAATAAACTCTAACCAATGAAAATGCCTTTTTGAGTTTAACGATAGCCAGTTTAAAGATTCATACATATGACAATGGTGGGTTTTGTATGGACACCTCAAAATAAATCTGCAAAGACTGTTATAAACAACATTAAGAGAATGAAGATTTGTGTTGGGAGTGTTCTGATAAACTATATCAGCGTAGTCAAGAATTGGTAATATTAACTGAGTAATAATTCTTTGTCTGACCTGAAAAGTAAAACAATTGATAGAAGAGTATAGTATTTTAAGTCGGTATGAGATTTTCTTGACCACTAAGTCAATATGTGATCTAAATGACAATTGTGGATCTAAAAGAAGTCCTAAATATTTAAACTCATTTACAGTTAACACTGGTGCGCCGTCTGTAAATGTAATCACATGATCAGTTGGTAAAGAACTTTGTTTTGTACTAAATAACATATAATAAGACTTACTTTTGTTTAAAAGAAGTTTATTATATGTAAACCAATTTTGAACTTGATCAGTCAGACTGTAATGAGCACTGAATATGAGAGGTATTATTTCTAGAAAAATAAAGAACTGTATCATCCGCATATAAATTAATTTGAGAATTAGAGCATACCTGAGACAGATTATTTATAAAAATGGAAAACAATAGTGGCCCCAGAGATGAACCTTGTGGTATTCCTCTGATGACCATTGTAAAATCTGAGTAACTTCCCTGATAAAGAACACACTGTTGTCTATGGTGTAAAAATGAGTTAAACCAAAGTAAAGAGGTTCTTGGAAAACCAATAGCATGAAGATTATCTAAAAGAAGGCAATGGTCAGCTAAGTCAAAAGCTTTAATTAAATCAATAAATATGGCACCAGTTAACTTATTTGAATCAAAAGAAGACATAACATTACTAAATTTTAAAAGTGCAATTGTAGTAGAAAAATTTGGGTGAAAGCCAGACTGAAAAGGAGATAGAATATTAGAATCAGTAATATAATTAGTTAATTGTTTAAAGATAAGTTTTTCTAATATTTTTACCATGCTATTAATTATTGAAATTGGTCTATAATTATTAATGTCATACTGGTCACCATTTTTATAAAGTGGGATAACTCTAGTACATTTCCGAGATAATGGAACATTACATGTTGTCAGTGATAAATTAAATCAATCTGAAAAAGGAAATGCCAAGACGTATGAAGCCATTTTGAAAAACGTAATTTCTAAACCATCTGGACCAGCACTGCAATCAGAATTTAGATTATCAATAACTTGTTGAGCTTCAATAGGACTAAAAGGTCTAAAGGAGATGGAATTTTCACAAATAGGATTGAGAATGTCAAAGTTAATATTAGGATCTATAAAATCAGAGGATAAAGGAACACATTTAGTAAAATGTTGATTAAATGCTTCAGCAATTTTAGAGCAGTAATTAACAATTTCATTGTCTACTCGTATAAAGGTATTTTGTTTCCCAGGGGAAAAATTTGTTAACTTATTAATTCTACTCCAAAATGCTTTTGGATTCTTAAAATCTGCTGCTAAGCAGTCCTGAAAATAATTTGCTTTTGCATTTCGCATTTCAGTTGAATATGCATTCCTTAATTTCTTATAAATGGTCCAGTCTGAAGACTGGTTGTTAAACGATATATTTTCCATGCATTATCTCAATTTTTAAATAAATTTATTAAATTACCATTTATCCATGGAAGGTGTCTTCCCTTAACTGTAATTATAGTCCATGGTGCATGTTTATCTATAACTTTAGAAACAAATAAACAATCAATGATGAACAAGAGTCTGCTTCGAGACCTGCAGAAGGAGAGAGAAAAAAAGAAGAAAAGGGACACACAGCAATACAACAGGAGCAAGCTATCACTTCGTCAACCTGATGAGGAAATATAAAAACATTGTTTTACTGAACAATCACGATAATAAATCACAGTGCGTTAAGTGCCAACCACAGCTGACATGTGTTGAACGTGCCCAAGTCCATACTTATGAGAGCACCACGTGAGCACCTGTGTGCATACCCGCGCTTGTATATGTACGTTTTCTCTGTAGGAGCGTCCAATAGAGAGTGTGAGGGGCCACAGATCTGCCCCCAAAGATGCGTAGGAGATGGAAGGAGCTCCAAGTCTCAGAGATCCAGGAGCTGCCCCAGAGCGCAGGGACCCCAGGGAGACCGCGACCAGAAAAGCCCCTGCCCCCCTTGAGAGGCTCAGAGGATTGCCCTGGGGGGCCACAACTAGCAGCTGGCAGAGTCCCGGGGATATCAGCGGCAAGCCCACAGGCTCGCCCGCAGCCTCCCACCCCCAAGCCGGCCGAGGCCGGAACCCAGTGTCCTGGGACCCAGGGGCAACCAGCCCCGCCGAGGACCCAACAGAGCCCAGGGACTCAGATCCCACCAGGCAGCCATCGGGATTAATCAGGCAGACGCTAAAAATCTTAAACCCCCTTACCCGGGAGCTGCGAACACTCAGAAAGACCAAGGCACAACACTCCACACCAAGTGTGACGGGGGAGGGCAGGTGAAGATGTATAGCAGCAAAAGAAGTCCCAGGAGAGGGGAGGAGTCCAAGACCCCACCTGACATTTACAGTCATACACAAACACAGTCACACACTTCCTCCCTCATGCACACACATACACATACAACCTAAGACTCACAAAAATGCACAGCAGACACTCACTCATACTCCCCATACACACCCTATTCACTCTGGTTGCAGTACTGCTGCACAAAGGGTACAACCGTCACCGGTTACCAGAGTTCGACCCTTTCTGCTGGGGTGCTGATGAGCAGGCTCCCCTGCCCAATGCCGAGCAAAGCGACCCACCACCCAGACCCCAGCCAGACGGCCAGATCCCCCATCTAGCCTCCAGCCCCAGGAAGCCAAGCGACAACAGAGGTGTGCTAAGACCCCTAGTCACCCTCCGCCTGCTCCAATGCAGTGTTAGGGTGTGTTGATGAGGTGTATTCGTGGCTGTGGTGAGTGGGCAGTGCAGGCATCGTCTGGCCTATGCCAGCTGATGCCACCAGCCTACCCCTCTTCCCCCCACAGCCCTCTGTGTCTAAGTGCAGATTAAAATTGGAAGTGGGCACCGGCACCTGGGAAGAGGCTGAAAGATCCCCTTGCCAAATGCCGTTGTTTGTGCACACTCCCAAGGCCCTAAGGGTATGTTTGCGTGGAATGTCGTTGGTGGAAGTGTTTAATGTGCAAATAAAATTGGGGGGCAGGCTGCCACAGGAATGCGGAAATGGGGTCCATACCCGCACCTTCTGACTTGTCCACCCCCCAAAGTCCTATGTGCATGTTTGTGTGATGATGTGAGAGAACAGGAGGAGAAAAATGTGTGGGGATGGGGAGGAATGGCTGGTTGGCCGAAGCCCTCCAGGGAGCCAGCTCCCCCACTGTCCCCAATAGGCACCTCCGTTGCCAAAATGCCACCCAGGGCATGGAGACCCCAGCCCATCTTGCCAGGGCCCAAAGCAGCAGCATTGCAGATTTCCACAGAGCCCAAGGGAACCAACACAGCCCCACCCCAGCAGAATATCTACTCCCATCACTGCATTTGCAGAGCTTCCAGACTATATATGACATAGGACATCCAGGTAAGGTTGGGTCCTCCCCCTCCTGGACATCCCCCTCCCCATGATGGACAGCAGAGGAGCCAAGGTCTGCCCGAGATCCCTGAGCCCGGGCCAGGCTCTGCCGCATGTTTCCGCCTTCTTCCCGGCAGCATACATTTCAGGACCCGACCCCCAAGGCCCCGCCTAGATCCCCACACGGGGCCAGCCAACCCCACACCCCGAGCCCCCAGGCTCCCACCCAGACCTACCCAGGGGCATTGCAGCCGCCAAGACCCCCGGCCCCACTCACAACCGCCAGTAGTCCACCCCTCGAGGCGGGGGGAGACTTTTTTAGGCCGTTACTGTTACTGTGTTACAGCAGCTATTATAATTTGTTTCAGTTCCACTGCTGTTGACCCAGGGATGTTAACGTCTTTATCTCCAGGTTTTCCTGGGATGAGGAAACATTTGTGTATGTTTAATCCCCAGAACGGGGTTAAGGATACAAATCCACTCACATGGTCTGGTTGAAAACACTCACTGCCCTTCGGGGAGAAACCGTTTATTATTGCTGCTCTTTAAAAGTGTATATTTATGAGAATGTTTCTTCTGTCTGTAAGAGGAGGACTCGGGCCTTGGCTTGATTTTAGGTTTTTATGCCTAAAGCAGCCTGTGAGTCCAGATTTGAGTCAGCTTCTGTTTGTGTCACTCAGCATGAGTCAGGAACTTTAGAAAACAGGCTCTTTCTTTGTGGTGATGATTTACTAGCCAGCTGCTGAAAATTAGAGGTTCTGTTTGGTTCTGCTCAGATCCAGAAAGCCACTTTTTCCAGCTGACGCTGCTTTTTCTCCTTTTTCCTATGAAGTGTCTATTTTGGTGCTCATGGACGTTCACGTTGTTCAGGTCTGACTCCTCTGGGACGTTGTGTTGATTTTGTCTGCAGGCTGTCAGCGAGGCGGTTCCGGCAGCTGGTGGAGCGCCTCCTGCAATTCATCTCCACCCGCCTGTTTCCTGCAGAAACAGACGAACTTCCTCCTTCAGCCAAGTGCTCCTGGTGGGTTCCTTCTGCCACCAAAGTTCTGAGCCTGTTCAGTAAGTCAAGCAGACTAATGATTTGATGAGTTCATGCTGCAGAATGTTGCACCTCCTCTTCATCGTCTTTCAGATGCAGCCAACAGTGTCTCCTGTCCTCCCATCATGCCTTTCACTGACTTCTACAACATCACTCTAGAGCACATAGACTTCATGGAGGACTACAGAACCTGGCAGAACTATGGCAACTCAAATAGGTCAGAAATGTTGTTTCATCTCATCGGCACATCTAGCATGAGGTTAGAGGGGTGACAGCCAAGGCTGAGATCCCAAGACCAGCCTGGAAATACAACAGCTTCAGCGTGTCTTGAGGAGACCCGTGTGTCTTTTTCCAGCAGGTTATGCCTCAAAACATAGGCAGAGAGGATATTTAAGGGGCAATCTGACCACATCCCCTAACCACCTCAGCTTGTTCCTCTTGATGAGAAAGAGCAGCGGCTCTTCCCTGGATTTCTGAACACTTTGAAGCCGAGCCCGGCCACCTTGGGAAGGACACTCATTTTGGCCACTCGTGTTCCTGATTTTGTTCTTTTGGTCACTTCCCACAGCTCATGACCTGAGATGAGCATTAGGATGAAGATTGACACACACACACACACACACACACACACACACACACACACACACACACACACACACACACACACACACACACACACACACACACACACACACACACACACACACACAGAGCCATCTGGTCACCTCGTTGGTTGATTTTCTTTGACCGTCCAGACAGATTCTGTTCATTAAATCGTGGCAGATCTAAATATTATCACTAGCTCACTGCAGCTCCGTGACCACAGAGATGCTCTCTCCTTTTAAGATGTCTGGAAGTCAGACAGATCATTTCCTCCAGAGGAAATGTTCCCACAGCTGCCGTTTATTCAGAACCGTGAAAAGACTCTCAGAAGCCTTGAAGTCTGCTCCAGGCTGCGTCATGCCTCGTTAGTGTGGGAGAGAGGAACACGATCCAGAGTCTGCAGCTCAAACGTCCCGCTTTGGCTGCTGCTTCAGGGGTTAGCTCATGTAGATCACAGTCAGTCATCTCTAGAAGAGAAGAGAGCTCACTGTTGTCTTTGAAGAGATGCACGATTAACTGCTGCTTTTGTTGTTTTTTCTCTTTCAGGTTTTCTTTCTGCCAGTTTCCATTCATCCTACCAATCGTGGTGAAGAAAGCCATCATCCAGAAGGACTCGGAGCAGCAGATGATCAGTCAGGCCAGGGTGAGGCTTGGATACACGGAGAGCTGAACAGGTTCAAACACATCTTTAACCCGTGTGTGTGTGTGTGTGTGTGTGTGTGTGTGTGTGTGTGTGTGTGTGTGTGTGTGTGTGTGTGTGTGTGTGTGTGTGTGTGTTTCACAGCTAAGCCTGGTCAGTAAAGTGTCCCGGAGACAGAGAGTAGACATGAATCTTCTGTTTCTCAACATTAAAGTTCGACGAGCACAACTCCTCAGCGACTCGCTGGATGAGGTCAGAGCACAAACTCATGACAGACGGGGATTCAAATCGCTCTCCACTGAGTTTAAAGCACCATCAACAGTTTCATCTTCTCCCTTTTAGACCTTAAACCATCTGAAACCTAACCAGATGCTCCTCAACCCCATAAATGACCTCCAGCCGTTACTTTGTAGCTTCATTAATTGCTCCTTCCAACGTTTTCTTTGTTGGAAATGTGCCGTTAACTTCTAACTTCGCGTTTATGGTTCCTTCAGTCTGTGTCTCACTTGTCCTGCTGTTGAACATGACGTCATCAACCACACATCCTGTTTTTAATAAAGGGATGTTTACATTATAAACACGAATGAACGTAGAACTGAAATCTGACCATTTCTGTTTAAAATGTGAACTCGTTCTTTAATATATCAGGTAGGTCTTAACTGTCAATCATCAGTCTCTTAAAGAGAACAGTTATGAATGCAACCTGCAGAAACAGTTGAGAGTTGAACATTCACACAAGTCCTGAACAAAATAAAGTTCCATTAATAAACACGCAAATCACAGAGTCGGTTTGCTCCGTGGTCCTGATCACCTCCGCTCTGGATTTAAACGCACCGTAGACCAAGAGTCCAGAAATGAGACTTGGAGTGGGGAGGAAATGAATCTTAGCGATGCAGACGGCTGTCCTGGGTGTCAGCTGGAATTTAGCACTGTTCGAGTCTGATGACATCCAAAAAATGTACTGTAATGAGTTTTTGTTGAAGGGAAGCAGACTAATTAGTGGTGTGGGAACTGTGGGTGTGAGAATGTCTTTAATGTTCTTCATTCATGCATCAACCCCGACGCTGCATCCTCCCTAGAGCGGATCATAAATCTGACGTGAACCCTGAAATCTCGTGCAGTGAGCGTCTGACCGCTCCACTCCGGTTGTTTCTTTGAAAACAGCTTGATGAGTTACACTTCTGGGATTCCACACTGAACTTCATCTGTGTTGTTTGTCTGTAGCTGACGAGGAAGAGGTGCGACCTGAAAAAGAAGCTGCGGGTGACTTTTGTTGGGGAGGCAGGGCTTGACATGGGCGGCCTGACGAAGGAGTGGTTCCTGCTGCTCGTCCGGCAGATCTTCCATACAGATTATGGTGAGAGGTTCCCCTCAGGTGGCTGACCTGCACACCTGGCTCTGATCACTGGTGATGAGCTGTTTAATGTAGCAGCTGGACCAAAGGAGCCCTGCTGGGTTTCAGGGAGTTAGTGGTGGTGCTGAAATCTGGAGGCCAAATCCTCCCTGATGCAGAGGAGAGTGAAACTGATGATTTATTGAAAACAAGAGGAAAGAAAAGAGTGTTTGTACTGGCTGAAAGTGGAAAGTCCTTTTTTATTAGAAGGCCTTGTGGAGGTGCTCTCAGTTCTCAGGTCAGTGATGCTGCAGAAAGAAGAAGTTCTGGTAAGGAGGGAAAGTAGACACAGTTGGTTTTAGAAACAGATTTTTGTGTTTCTGTTACCTTTACAGCCTGCTCTCAATTGTTTTTGATAATAAAAAATATAAAACATTTTCTTGCTTCACAGAAAGGCTGGATGGCATCACTGTTAACTGTGATAAAAATACATGTATTCATGAAAATCTGCCTTTTACCACTGAATTGAAGTTTAAATCAATCAATCAATCAATCAATCAATCAATCAAGCAATACTATATTAATCCCAGAGGGAAATTAGAGTTTCAGTACACACAGTTCAGAGATCAGACATACATGGGCAAGACACGTGACAAGAATTGGTGACTGTGGTCATTCGCAACCCGAGTCGCGCTACCTTAATAGAGATAAGAGGGTTACATGAGGGTTGGATCAGGTGGAGGGAAAAAAGCCTCTTCAGAGTTACCCTCTCGTCCGGAGGGCAGCTTTGCTCTGCAAAAAAAACCTCAACAAATATGCAGCAGACTTCCTGTTTCCCCCAGCGAGAGCAGCCATCTACGGCGCTCAGTCACTGTACATTCACAGGTGGGAGGGAGATCTTGGGAGAAGCAAAGAGCACATTGACTCCTGCAGATTGATGACCTTGCCAGGCTGAAGTTCACCAATCTGAAGGCGGGGGCGGGGGGTGGGGTGTTTTGGGGGGGGGGGGGGGGGTGGGGGGGGGGGGGGGGGGGGGAGTAGGTCGGGTTTTCACAGCATCTGTCTGCATTCCTTCGAGGGGGTCTGTTGCTAGCCGCTCAAGGCTACCAGGGCGTCAGATTCGGATAACAAGACTTTGATTGGGTCAGGCTGAGATAATTTTCCTCTCTGCCTTCAGTCTTTAAACTGATCATTCCAGTCCTTTAGTGAAGCCAATTTTGGGTTTTTAAACCTGTCCATACCGTCCGGTGACTCCCTCCGAGATGACATCCATTTTGTGCACTAATATCGGTATCGCAGCTAGAACATTGTCCAGCTTATGATTCACCTCGAGTAACGTCCCAGGGGATCAGGAGGGGGCAGCTAATCACTTATGTGTTTCTGTTATTAGTTTTATAATGTGCGGATATACAAGTGGACAAAAACACAACTGTTATTAAACACAGGAAATGCAGACTAAAAATATTTTTGCATTGTCGCTTTAGCGCCCCTCCAGCTTGACGCCCCATGTGTTGCATACACTGCATACCCACTTTGTTCTACCCATACTTGTATTGAGTTAGCATGTTTTGATCATAGATGTGTGGCTTTAGCTTGTTCTGCTTGTCCATGTGAGGAGTAGGGGTTGCATGACTTAATTTTTTTTAAAGTCGACAGTCAAGTAATGAAAATCGAGTTGACTTTGACTAGTCGTTGATGACGTCATACATCTGAAGCGGGTTGGTTCGCTGGAGTTTTTGACAATTAAAATTGCGCCCACACTTTCAAAGTTAAACACATCTCTTTTAACAACGGTAGTTTCTGCTTCAGCCCTCTCCCCCTCCCCCTGCCCAGCGGCCGCAAGCTCACTGATGCGCCTGCAGCCTCTCAGAGTTCCTGCTGCTCTAAACATTAAAATAATTATTTAGTTTTCTGTTCCTCACTTCTGATTACCTTCTATGGTTTCTGTTTGTTGCAACAACCAGGTACAAAAACTAACTTGTTTTATTTGACTATTTTTCTGTCCTGTCTGTTTATTATCTTCCTGCATCTCCTCTCAATCCTAAAGAAAAACTGCTACCTGGGTTCATTTATATTCACCTTATGAGTTACCTTTGAACTGCATTTCTAAAAGATTTACCGACCGCAAAAACAGTGGAGTGCCGCTGCTCGCCGGCCGCACCGGAGAGTTGAAGTCGCCGAAGGACAAAACAGGTGATGCGCCTGGCTCCACAGCAGCGAAAAGCATCAGGCACAAATAAAAGACAGAAAACATAAAAGGAAATGTGGCGACATAAACAATCGCGTGTTAAATTTGTTTTTGAGGTGGCGACTCCTAATTTGATAATGTTACTTGTGGCCGTGCTCAGGATGCAGATGTCTGGAGCACATCAACAATCAGAGCTTTGCTTGTGCAAGCTGGTTAAGATTAGGATGGGGTGAGGGGAAGGTTAAATTGCAAGAGGGTAAAGGTCACAATTCGGTCAAATGCCCATTTTACCGCGGGCGTTTACCAGCGCGTCGCCTCCCAACACGCAGGGGCTCATCACCTGCTGACTTTTCCGAGGACTGCATCTTGTCGGTCATTATCACGTGACAGCGACTAGTCTATGAAAGGCATAAAAAGTCACTATAGAGCAGTGAAGTCAACTAGTCGACTAGTTGATACAACCCCTAGTGACGAGCTAGCATATTCTGCCCATACTTTTATGGAGTTAGCATGTTTTGCTCATACACGTGTGGAGCTAGCATTTTCTCCCCAGAAATGTGTGGTTAGAACATACTCCACATGCATGTGCAGATATTCTCCGACTTATGCAGTTTCCTCCCACTGACCAAAACCATTTCTCTAAATGGTCTCTAGGTGTGAATGAGTGTGATGAACTGGCACCCTGTCCATGGCATCCCCCTTCACACACACACACACACACACACACACACACACACACACACACACACACACACACACACACACGCACGCACGCACGCACGCACGCACACACACACGCACACACACACACACACACTTCTTTTAACTTCCATTCATTTTAGTGACTGCACTAACTCATACCCTAACTCTAACTGATGGAGTTCTACTCCTAACCCTAACTTAAACTAATCTAAACTAAAGGTTAATTCACACCATTCCTCTAAAACAAGTTTTGGAACAGTTGGCATTGTGTGGACCAGCAAAATGTCCCCACAATGTAAAATTGTCCACATGTTACAGTAAATAATTGTCCACGTAAGCATAAAAAACAAGTACACACACACATTCACTCAGAGTTACATTTCATACCATTTCCAGAATACTGCACATACTACAACCATAGGTTTTCTTCATGGTGCTGATTTCCCTCATTATTAATTTCTAGTGTTATAATAATAATGTAATAGTTAATAATAAAAATACATAATAAAGTAATAAAACATATGTATTTATTCTCTCATTCACTTTGAACCATGTCTTTGTGGGTGGCAGAACACTCATCACATGTTTAACCCTCTATGACCATATAACTGGGCTGCCTGTTTTTTTTTTTTTTTGTTCTTTGGCTGTAAAAATGCAGTAAAAAGTGCTAAATGTTTGTAACTCTTTAAAAATGCATCTTAAATGGAAAAAAATTAAACAGATTTTCTTCTTTTTTTTTTTTTTTTACATCCATCCATCCATTCATTTTCATCTGCTTATCCGGAGTCGGGTCACGGGAGCAGTAGCCTAAGGCGAGAGACCCAGACTTCCCTCTCCCCAGCTACTTGGGCCAGCTCCTTCAGGGGAATCCCAAGGTGTTCCCTGGCCAGGTGAGAGACATAGTCCCTCCACCGTGTCCAGGGTCTACCTTTAGGTTTCCTCCTGGATGGACGTGCACGGAAAACCTCACCAGGGAGGCGTCCAGGAGGCATCCTGACCAGATGCCCGAGCCACCTCAACTGGCTCCCCTCGATGTGGAGGAGCAGCGTGTCTACTCCGAGCCCCTCCTGGATGACCGTACTTCTCACCCTATATCTGAGGGAGAGCCCAGCCACTCTTCGGAGAAAACTAATTTCGGCTGCTTGTATCTGCAATCTCGTTCTTTCGGTCACTACCCAAAGCTCATGACCATAGGTGAGGGTAGGAACGCAGATCGACCGGTAAATCGAGAGCTTCGCCTTCTGGCACAGCTCCCTCTTCACCACGACAGACCGGTACAACGCCCGCATCACTGCAGATGCAGCACAAATCCGCCAATCGATCTCATGCTCCAGTTTTCCCTCACTCGTGAACAAGACCCTGAGATACTTAAACTCCTCCACTTGGGGCAGGACTTCATCCTTGACCCGGAGAAGGCATTCTTCCCTTTTCCGAATCAAGGCCATGGTCTCAGATTTAGAGGAGCTGATTCTCATCCCAGCTGCTTCACACTCGGCTGCGAACCGCTCCAGCGAAAGCTGAAGATCACGTTCTGATGAAGCCAACAGGACCACATCATCTGCAAAAAGCAGAGACCTGATCCTCAGGCCACCAAAACGGATGCCCTCCACACCTTGGCTGCGCCTAGAAATCCTGTCCATAAAGGTTATGAACAGAATCGGTGACAAAGGGCAGCCTTGGCAGAGTCCAACTCTCACTGGGAACGAGCCCGACTTACTGCCGGCAATGCGGACCAAGCTCTGACACCGGTCATACAGTGACCTAACAGCCCGTATCAGAGGGCCTGGTACCCCATATTCCCGGAGTACACCCCTACAGGGCCCCCCGAGGGACGCGGTCAAACGCCTTCTCCAAATCCACAAAACACACGTAGACTGGTTGGGCAAATTCCCACGCACCCTCCAGGATCCCCCTAAGGGTATAGAGCTGGTCCAGCGTTCCACGGCCAGGAAGAAAACCACATTGCTCCTCCTGAATCTGAGGTTCAACAATCTGCTGGACCCTCCTCTCCAGAACCCCTGAATAGACCTTACCAGGAAAGCTCAGGAGTGTGATCCCCCTGTAGTTGGAGCACACCCTGCGGCCCCCCTTTGTAAATAAGGGGACCACCACCCCGGCCTGCCAGTCCAGTGGGACTGCCCCCGATGTCCATGTGATATTGCAGAGTTGCGTCAGCCAACACAGCCCCACAACATCCAGAGCCTTAAGGAACTCCGGGCAGATCTCATCCACCCCTGGAGCCTTGCCACAGAGGAGCTTTTTGACCACCTCAGTGACCTCAACACCAGAGATTTGAGAGGCAAACTCAAAGTCCCCAGACTCTGCTTCCTCACTGGAAGACGTGTCGGTGGGATTGAGGAGGTCTTCGAAGTATTCTGCCCACCGATCCACAACGCCCTGAGTAGAGGTCAGCAGCATACCGTCCCCACTATAGATAGTGTTGGTAGCGGACTGCTTTCCCCCCCTGATGCGCCGGATGGTGGACCAGAATCTCCTCGAAGCTGTACGGAAGTCTAGCTCCCTTTTTTACATTTATTACTAAAAAGGAACTTCAAAAGGACTCATTTCAAATGAACAATTTAAACTCTGAACTGTGTTGCAAAGCGTGAACCCTGCCTCATGTTGACCTGTTTATGACGGTTTCTATTTTCTAAATTCCTGACTGCAGCCCTGTCAGTGACCACAGGTAGGTATATGCTCTAGTTCAGAGAATAGCATGGAGTAAAATAAACATAAGGTAATACTCACTCATTCAGGACTGCACATGTGAATTAGCTTCAAGCTAAATCTGGTACAATGCATAAAATTTCAATATTTATGCTTAATATTGTACATGGTCCTTAAATAAATATAAACATTCATCACAACTGTAGCTACATTTCTACCAGCATTATAAAGATCAACAAGCCCTAAGTATTAAGGGGCCCTAAGCACATTGTGCCCAGGGGCCCCTGCAATGATAATCCGGCCCTGCCAGTTGTCAGTGAAACATCTAAGGCTAGTGTTTTCTCTTGTAGGAATGTTCACCTACATGAAGGACTCGCACTGCCACTGGTTCAGCAGCTGGAAGTCTGACAACTATTCAGAGTTTCAGATGGTCGGGACTGTATCCTTCCCCACATCAGAACCAGGGTTTGTATGCAAATGTATATCTGTTTAGTTTCTTTCATTGTTTGTGCCTTAGCTGCAGCCAAACAGAAGAGTAAACATGTCATTTTGCACAAAGTTAGCACTAAGCATAGTAATAGCCAGCGAGCCATCTGGCCATCATTTAGATGGCCTGACTTAAAAAATGACGTCTCAGTGGCGGCTGGTCATTTATTTATTTATTTTTTTGGAGGGGTGCAATTTAACAGGCGTTGTGCAGAAAAGATAGCCTGGCCTGCCAGTCTCGTCCTCAGTTTAATTCCACACAAAGAACTAGTCTGGTCACTCATAAGCAGAAAGGCACATGAGGGGCGGGGCTAGCTAGCTCAAAAATAACCAATCAAAAAAAGGTGGAAATGCTGACTGTATCGTGAAATGCTGTAGTTTTTCGACGTAGTCAAAAACAGCGTCTGGTGATGGTGCAAACATCTTTTTTAGAAGAAAGGCTTTTAGCGCTTCTCCTTGTTGTGGTTTTAAATATGTGTTCAAGTCATTTAGAACAAAGAGCCGCAATGAAATCCGCTTAGTCTTTGTTGTTTATGAGAAACTCAGTGTTGCGGTGTGTGTGTGTGTGTGTGTGTGTGTGTGTGTGTGTGCATGAGCAACTTTGTATATGCACTTATGGACCTACACAGCAACTTAGTGTTCTGGCAAATTTTATATTTAGCTTTTTTTTTTTTTTTACTTTATTCCTGCTCTAAAGCAGCTGGAGATCGGCTGCTTTATTTACCTGCTGATGTCCTGTGGTGTTTTTGTGCAGAAGATGATTATTTCAAATTTGAAACAAAATAAGCACAGCACATGTGTGAGTCTGCATGTTTCTAATTGCTAAAACCTGATGAGAAATATTTTATTTGTAGTTTTTTTTTTACATGCCCCAGTGACTCTGAGAGCTGCAGCAGCAGAAGCTCAGCCTTCAGGTGGGACACCACCGTAGAACGGGTCTTAGGGTCATTATATAGAACAATAACACATTTATTAATTGATTTCTTTTCTAAACACTCAGAGATGCTGTAAGAATCCAGATAAAACAAACAGATTATGCAGCAATCAGAAGTAGACTTTAAACTGTTTTAGAATGAGTCTTGAGAAGAGTAGTGAAGGTGGAGAGGTCAGCAGTTGTGGAGGGGCTGTAGGAGTGAGTTCCAGAGGGTGGGGGCAGCAATGGAGAAAGCTGTGTCTCCCCAGGTTCAGAACTTGGTCATAGGTGGGGGAGGGAGAGGAGAAAGTGGTATGGGGCACAGTGGTGGAGCAGGTCAGGGAGGTAGGAGGTGACCGGGTTATGGAGGACTTGTGATGCTCTGAGTGAGTCTCAAATGTTGTCAGTGTGGCCCACGGCAGCACTGAGGCCATGGAAACAGAAGGGGAATTCACAATAGCAGTTCCAATAGTGGTGACTGTATCAATAAAAATGGAGAAAGTCTTCACAGTTTTTAATTGTTGGGGGCAAGGAACCAGAGTCAAAGTCAGAAAAATCCAGTAATGAGTTCACCACCCTAAAAATGATGTGTGGATCATGAGAGATTTTTTTGCACCTTAAAAAATCAGACCATACCACCTTAAGAGCAGTTCAGTATTTCTCATACCATCTTAAAATATTTCAATTTTCCACATATCAGCTTTAAAAATGATCAGCCCACTTTTTCCACCTAACGCCAGGGACACACCGGCCACCGAAGCACCGCGAAACGGGGACCGCCTTCATTCGGCGCCCTTGTTATTCTATTGTATAGACCACATGGACCGCCGAAGCGCCGCGCGCTGGCGCTCCAGCCCACGCCGTGCAGCAATCGTTTCGGCGTCTGTTCTAATTTTTTCGCAAGGAGAGGCGTTTGACAAACATCGGGACACACATAGGTCAGACCATCCCAAAATCTCCCCCTTAAGCCAATCCAGCTGTGGTTTGTGAGTGCACAACCACGTGATCCCCAGGATGACAGGGTTGTCAGGAGAGGGGATGGCCAGGAAACTTAGGGTTTCAACACGGTTCCCCCCAAGCCTCATGGTGATGAGGACAGTTTCATGGGTGGCCTGGTGGATGATGTGTCCATCGATGGCCTGCACTTCTTGAGTCTGGGTGATGGGATGCAGAGGCAGGCCAATAGACTTAGCAAAGAAATGTCCATAAAGTTTGTGTCAGCTCCAGAGTCAATAAACACAGGACATCTGTGCTCCTGTTTGGCATGCAAAAACATAGCAGGGGTAAAAGGTCGTACGGGGGTGGTGGTGGTGGGGTGTTAGGGACCACCTGACCCAACTGAGCCCTCCTCTTCTCTATTGGGCCTGACCTTTTAAAGTGCAGTTACGTAAGCTATTTCCGAGCCCCCACAATAAAAACATAGGTTGAGTAACCACTGTCTAGTTCTCTCTTTTTCTGAGAGCTTACTCTTTCCAATTTGCATGGGTTCTTCATGAGAGGACTGTGGCGTGTTGTGGTTACTCACAGTTGAATGTTCAGGTGGAGTTGCAGGGCCAGAGGGCGCAGAGCGGGGACTGGTAGGTGGAGCGGGTCTCCTAGACCTGTCTCTCCGTCTTTCCAGCAGTCGGAGGTCGATGCAGGTGGCATGACATTTTAGGAGGAATTTTTTATTAATTGAAAATAAATGATCATGCAGATGTGGAAGTTTGCAGGTCTGAAATCCAAAGCTTAGACTTTTGTGTCTTAAAGAAGGACATTTACCACATGTTTAATTTAGTAAGAACTATTCCCAAAAACAACAGAAATGTAGTAAGTATTTGGTTTTCAGATACGTATGTGCAACAGTGCAGTATAAACAAATACTTTTCAAATCATACAATCTGAATTCCTGATTTTTAAAATACTATCTCTTACGGTGGGAATGCACCAAAAATGTGAATTTCAGGACCCTCCATGATTTCTCTGTGGCAGTAAAATTGCTGAGTGTTCAAATATTTCTGTTCGTTATTATATGTAGTCTGATAGCATCACTGTTTTTCACATGTTAAGATTGCGACTGGTGTGTTTGCATTTCCATGGTTATTGTAGTGCATATTAGCTGGATGGGTGATAATCAGTAATTTTTTGTAGCAAACAGAATTTTTTACTGACTTTGAGATTTCCTTTAAGTGACAATGTCTATTTTCCCTAGCGATAGGGGCAGTACATACCTAAATCGTTGCCAGCAAGCAGTTTTTTTGTGTTTGAGTGACACCTTACCAACTAATGGCCATTAGGGTCAAAAAGCCCTGGGAGTGCAACCTCCAGCAAAAGGGACAAGCACACAAGACTCCATTTCATCACTGGCAATGACCAAAGAGGTAAACGTGTAAAACAACAACATTCATGACTGGTGAAAGTTTTGTAACCATTTGTTACAAATCAGTAAATGTGTTTTGTCCTCACGGGCTTCCATAGAAGGAAGCATGGTGTCTAACATGGCGTCGTCCAGAGACTTAGACCCGCTCTCATGTCTTTTAGACCCAATTTCAATAGTTTAATGTTAGAAGCAGCCAATATATTTTTCAACAACTGGCATCATTTAATTCATTTTCAACAACATTTCAACCAATATTTGTAGAGATTAATGGTAAAAGTTACACGTTGTCTCTTTAAGCATGTTTTCTTCTTAACATGCCGTGTCAGCTGATGGGCTTAGCTGTTTACAACAGCATCGCTCTGGATATCCACTTCCCTCTCTACTGTTACAGGTAAGACTGCATTTCACTCATAACATTTGTGCACATGGCCTTGCAGACTTGAAGCCCCAGGCCTCCAGGCTCCAGAACTGCCTTGCAGTGATGCAGCCACCTTATTTATTTCTACAGTGTCTCTGTAGTACTTATTACAAAGGTAATGCAGCCTGAACCCCCACACGTCGTACGTATATTGTGTCATGTTCTGCATCTCAACCTGTCTGCTCCCTGCAAGGTGTGAAAACCCCAGCTCCCTGATTGGTTGACTGTCTCTAAACTTCTGCTGTCTTTTGTCTGTGAGGAATTATGTGGAAAGTGACTCAAAGAAGGTTTCAGCAGGAACTTTCTAGTTATTATTATATCTCTTGAGAAAATCTCACAGATCTTTTCAAAGAAAAAAAAGAAAGAAAAACACTTCCTGCTGCTGCTAGATTTAAATACATTTATAGTTTTGATTGGCTGAAGTACATCTGTGCATAGGAACTGTCAACTCACGGGGTTGTTAATCCCGATAATCCTGCTGTCCATCATGGTACCAGTATCACTCCTTTCCTCCTGGGCCTTGAGGGCTGCACCGCCTCTAATCTTTTGTTTGTTGGTTTTAGAAAAATAAAGTGTAACTTTAACTCTATTTTGTCGAGACAGGAAGCTCCTGACTCCGCCTACTGTCCCATGTGACCAGAATGTGCTGGTTGGCATGGCAACAGCCACCTTGGATGACCTGCAGCAGGTCATGCCTGTAAGTATCTCAGCCTGGGGATGGAGCCACTCAGACTGTTTTGTAGAGGTGACGGTTAGCTGCTTGTCAGTCTCAGCCCACTAGAGGGAGGCAAAATGAAACTTTTGCTTCTTCTGAACCGTCTCTTCCAATAATCAGTTTTACTTCATCTGTTGCTCAGAAGCTTCTGGTTTAACTCATTGCACATAGACCATATGACCAAAAACCTCAGTTATAAGAATATTCTGGTTTTATATCAGCAGATATAAACAAAGATCAGGCTGCAAAAGGATTTTACTGAATCAAAACAGATTTTTTTCTGTTTGTCTTTATATTAAGTTTTGTTACACACTCGTCAATATAAGACAACTTCCTTTAGTCATATTTTATGTCCATTAACACAAATATGAAGCTAATTAAAAGCAAAGATAACTAAAATGTTCTTGTCCGTTTTGGACCTTTGAGCTGTATTTAACATTGATTTAATGCACAGATTTATATTTTAGCAACTTTCAAAAGAAGAACAGAAAACTAACAATTAATCTGACCTGATTCAAACACAATCAAGCAGTTTGCTCTTTATCAGGAGGATTAAGGCTTTTAACTAGAGAATAATTTACACTGACTTTATGTTTTAACTAGTTTAGGAACAAACTAAGAGAAAGATCAGGAACTGTTGAGTTACTTGCTGTGTCACAGTAAGCACTGTCCTGAATATGAAGGTCAAGGACCTGAGCACACACACACACACACACACACACACACACACACACACACACACACACACACACACACACACACACAGTCTGACTCACTGAGGGGAGCTATAATGAGCCATGTTGTTGTGTAACTGCAGGGAATCAAAAGTGGGGCGTACAGCTGGTGACTCTGCAGAAAGATCCCAACTGAAGTCTCAGTCAGCAGGTGTGGTTTGGTTGTTGTCCTGCAGAAAGCCTCTTATGAAGGTCAAGGAAGGAAATGATGTATTGATGTGCAGGTACAGAGCTCAAGGGTGCTCTGACAGTTTAAAATGGTGACATGAATTCATCTGGTGATCGGACTCAGTTTAATGGATTAAACTAAAACATGAAAGTCAGATTTATTTTTTGTTCCATGAACACACCATGACCAAGCACCACTTAAAGGGATACTAGGCAGTTTTGCTTGCTTTTAGCACCCCCTAGTGTCTGTTTGTAGAAGCGAAATAATCTGCTTGCTGTGCGTTCGTCTTTTTAACACCTTATCAGCTGAAACATCTCCCAGCGTTCCTAAGTGTCTACCGGAGTCATTCATCACTAAATTCAACAAATCAGCTCTTCATGATCTAAAACATGCAGGAAGCGTGCTGACGCCAGACAGCAGCGTCAGATAGGTCTGCTTAGTGTTTTCTAAGTCCAACAGAGCAGACCGGCAACTGTGAAGCTGCTGCAAGTGCGATATTCTGACCACAGGGGGCGATAGGGGCCAGGTGGCCTTTCATTAACCCTGTAAAGGGTCGTTTTAGCACATACTGGCTGAAGAAAATGATTTGTTGTAAAATATCCCTGTAATGCTAGCTTTAACAGGTCCTCCAAGTGGAACCAGAACTTTTGCTCTGATCAGAAACTTTAAAAATGACTTTGTCATGATTTTTCCTTTAAAATAAATTAGTCGGTCTCTTCAAGTAAGGCCCGGTTCACACAACGGGATACTTATGATGGATTTTGACTCCATTCCAACTGTCTTACTTGTGGTTTCTTATGTTTTGAAAATTGTCCAACAACTTTTAAATCCTGCCGTTTGAACTGGACCCAACACATCTGTAGTTTAAGCCGAGATGGCAATGCAGCACCTCAGACTCTGGAGGATCATACAGTTTCAACCCAATAAATGAAAAAAAGATCAAAACTTTTATTTACCAAAATGAAAACATCCACGTGTCTGTCTGTAGGATCTGGCTCATGGTTTATCAGAGCTGCTGAGTTACCAGGGAAACGTGGAGGAGGATTTCCACCTCACCTTCCAGGTAAGATGCTTCACTTCACTTAAAGGCCAAGTTCACTGAGAAACCATTGTTTACTTGTTGTTTTAGAAATAGTATTAGTCCTCTGAGTATAGTGTAAAAACCATCGACATATGTACTGGACAATTCATTTCCATAGGCTCCAATAACACGTTTTTGTGCTAAAATGGGAGGTGGCCACCACCGCCATTTTGACCGTGTCACAGGTTCCGTCAAACCCAGACAATTCCATAAAAGGGAAGAGAGGTGGAGCTGAGGGTGGGGCTGTAAGGCTGGGATCAACTGACGACACCTGGTCGAACTAGCTACAAGCTAACCCAAAGCTAACGCAGAGGTGGGAGCTAAGCTAACAGAGGTAGCAACCTAGCTACAACCAAAGTTAACTGTGCACAACACCAGAGCTTCTGAGTCAGAGATACGCTGGGCTGACCGCTGGGTAAAACTGGGTGGAACACAGAGGTCTCCCGAAAGCTGCTGAAAGCCGGCAGCCCACGCAGCAGACAGAAGCCGCGATCAGACAGAGATGCGCCGAGCTGCGGGGAGGGGAGAACCGGGTGGAAAACAGAGGTCTCCCGAGAGCTCCACAAGCCGATAGTTGGAACCCAGCTCCACCAACATGTTATATTTCAACCCATTTTCTAAAGTGCAGCATTACGTTAAATGCACTAGGTTTTACCCTATTACATTTAAATTTCATGGTTAAACAGTGCATGTTTAAATCTAAGCTCAGCTCGGCAGTGACCTAAAATACATAAATATAATTTTACTTACCGAAAAAAATGAAGTGGAGACTCCTTGGACGCTCTTTTGGTGCAATTAATGCCACAGCAAGTCATTTTGTCCAACAATTGCACAAATAATATCCAAAAAATAATGCACACACATAGAGACTCAAAATCCTGGAACAGTTTCCAGGCCAGACCGAGGCTCTACTGAGGCCTTTCCACGGAGCTAGCTCTGTGGTCACGTGGGTCTGATGCTCATTTATTATACAGAATTTTAGGCTTTTAATACACTTAAACAGAAGAGTAAGAAAAAAAATTCACCCCCCTCAGAGTTGTCATGAGTGTGAACTAGATAATTTAAACCAAAAACATGTTTTGGTACCAGGCTGTAAACTGTAAATTTCTGCTGTGAAATTGGTATTTTTAACATGGGAGTCAATGAGGATTTGCTCGCTTCTGGCACCAGCCCCCAGTGGATGAGGGTGGAACTGCAATTTTTGGTACTTCCGGGTTGGGCTCAATTTTTGAGCCGCATTGTGGGGGCTTGGTAAAAACAAACTGCTGTCCTCTCCTCCTCACTGCATTTGTGTTTTTAACAGAGGAACCAGAAACTTTTGGCTTGCTTTTAGCACCCTCTAGTGTCTGTTTGTAGAACCAAAGCAAAAGGTATCTTCTTGCTTTGTGTTTGTGTTTTTAAAACCTTAATCTAACAGCTGAAACATCTCCAAGCCTCCATTAGTGTCTACAGGAGGGATTCGTCACTAAATTAAACAAATCAGCCATGTTCAGGATCTAAAACATGAAATGTGCTGGAAGCAGTCTCCAGCCCACAGACATGCGTAGACAACTTATCACGAGCTGGAGAGTGATCCTGCGTGTAATAGGCCCTTTACTTAATCATGTCTGTGGGCTCACCACTTTATTATTGACTAACAGAGTTACTGGTGAATAAAATAGTCAACGCTGAAGAAAGATCCTGAGAGGAGGAATCATGCGACTGCAGGAAAATGCTGTAGCATGTCGATAAACCCAGACATCAAAGTCGCTGGGTCGCGGCTCACAGACAATACCGGCTGGCAGCACAGCTCGCCGTGAATCGATGCTGTGTGAGAATTCGAGGAGCCCGATTAGAGACCAAAAAGTGTCAGAGTGAGAGAAAAACACTTATGTGTGTGGATGATTGTAACAAAGCAGGACGTGATCCGCCTGACAAACATATTTAGGAATATTTGCAGACACCGGCAAATCGTGTACAAACAGAACATTTTAAAGTTGTACTTAAGAGAGTATCCAGTGTTATTCAGAAAACTCTCCATTTTTTCTTTTTAGCTTCATCAGATAACAGTTTGTGATGAACACACGATACAAACAACACCAACCATCTCTAGCTCGTCCTTCCTGAAGTGTAAACATGGGTTACTGCTTTTAGTGAGAACTGCAGGAGAGCAGCCTGGTGGCTAAAGGTGCAAACGTATTAATCTGCCCACAGGTGGCAGAGAGGGCTGAGAGATGATTCATTTACCCTGTAAAGCAGGGGTCTCCAGTACATCGCTCGCACTCCTGGCGCACCTGAAAGTTACTCGCCAGGAAGAAACCAGTGAGCCATCCCACCTAACTTCAAAATGCAGTTTGCTTATGAACACATGATGAACACAGGCTTCCAAACTTTGTGGACATCTCCTGTGATTTAGTTTCAACACACATCTCTCAGTTGTTTCAGCCAGTTGTCCCATTTAGTAATAAAACCCGACTAAGAAGCCTCTCTCTCTCTCTTTCTTTATTTTCCACAAAAATAAACAATCAATAATGAACAAGAGAAAGAGAGAAACAAACCAAAAAAAGAGGACACACAACAATACAACTAGAGCAAGCTATCACTGCGTCAACTTGATGAAGAAATATAAAATCAACATTGTTTTATTGAACAATCACTTGATAATAATGGGCCATTCCCATCTGTACCGGGTCGGCCCGGGCCGGGTAGCGACCCTCCCCACCCCCAACCCCCCCACCCCCGAGCACTGAACCCGGCGACCCGGGACGCAGGGGCGACCAGCCTCGCCAAGGACCCAACAGAGCCCAGTGACTCAGATCCCACCAGGCAGCCACCGGGATCAATCAGGCAGACGCCAAAAAATTTAAATCCCCTGACCCGAGAGCCGCGAACACTCAGGCAGACCAAGGCACCACACTCCACACCAAATGTGGCAAGGGAAGGGGAGGCGAAGATGTGTAGCAGCACAAGAAGTCCCAGGAGAGGGGAGGAGGCCAAGACCCCACCTGACATATACAGTCATATACAGACACAGTCACACACTCCCTCCCTCATGCTCACACATACAACCTAAGACTTACAAAAATGAACACCAGACACCCACTCATGCTCCCCATACACACCCCATTCACTCTGGTCCCAGTAATGCTGCACAAGGGGTACATCCATCACCAGTTCCCAGAGTTCACCCCTTTCTGCTGGGGTGCTGATGAGCAGGCACCCCCACCCAACGCTGAGCAAAGCAACCCACCACCCCAGACCCCAACAAGACGTCCAGCTCCCCCTCCTAGCCTCCAGCCTCGGGAAGCCAAGCAACAACAGAGGTATGCTAAGGCCCCTAGTCTCCCTCTGCCTGATCCAATACAGGAGCACAACTTCTAGAACATGTAAGACATGAGACATCCAGGTGGTTGGGCCCTCCCCCTCCAGGACATCCCCCTCCCCCATGATGGGACAGAGTTGTTATTATTTCAGAGGAGCCAAGGTCCACCTGAGACCCCTGAGCCTGCGCCATGTACTGACGCTTGTTCCTGCCTTCTTTCTGGCAGCATACGAGTCACGACCCCATCCCCAAGTGGCCCGCCGCCCCCACACCCCGAGCCCCCAGGCCCCCACCCAGACCTACTCAGGGGCGATGCAGCCGCCAGGCAGCAACCCATGGCCGCCGCCGAGACCCTTCAAGGCACCCCACTCACAACCACTCACAACCACCAGTAGTCCACCCCCCGAGGCAACCCAAGCACCTCCAGAGGGGGGCAGCAGTGCCCCAGCCCCAGACACCCCCAGTGAACCCACCTCCAGGGAACGTCTGGATACTCTAAACTTAGACCCTCCGCCCCATCACCCACATCATCCTGCAGAACAATATCAGCAACCCCCTATCATCGCTATGTGATGGAACCGATCAAAGGAGCCCAGAAAGATTGACTTGAAGTGGAAGCAGAGGTTGTAATATGATCTAACAAAAGATTTCTATATTGGTTAATGTGAAGAGTATCTCTATTTTTCCAATTCATGAGGATAGTTTTCTTAAGCCGGGCGTACACTGTGTGACTTTTTCCCTTTTTTGAGCCGATTTTCCACTCCTGCGAGAATCAACAAGATAGGGGCGAGTTTTGCGCTGAGCGTCGTGTAGTGTACAGGGGGTTACGAGAGGTGATTAACGCCACGTGACCAGCTACCGATCAGCAATCGTGAGCTCGCACAGACTTCTGACGTGTTTGATATTTTGCTCGTGCCTCGTGAGGGTATTGCACTGTTGAAGCGGCGCTGCGAGCAGCTGCGACCCAAAATGTATCAGAACCGCTCACGGCGCATGCGCAATCATTCATCAACACCGCTCGCCCGCTATTTCTTCACATTTTTTTACACACAGTGGCAAGGATTGTCAAGAAAGCGTGTTTGTCGTGTTCATGTCAAATTCAACTGATCACAAAACACAGATTAACTTTCTTTATTTCGTTTTCGCCATCCAACCCCCATAAATCCCTGTGTGTCCTCCTGCAGCACTCCTGAAGGACAACAGGCAAAACAAGACAAAAAAAAGTCTGACGTGTTGTGTAAAAACTGCTATTTTTAGCATATTTTTAGGTCCGACGTGTTGCTACCAGACGTAATGTGTGAGCAGTCAGGTCGCATCCGAGAACTGGGTCGTGCAGTGTGAGCGCATGACTCTTGAGATCTGCCCTGCGAGGAAGTCGTACAGTTTGAGCTGAAGCTGAGTGCTACGAGTGAAAAAGTCGCACAGTTTCCGCCTGGCATTAGCGATGCATATGGCAGTCAGAACCACGTGAACCAATGGTGTTACAATCGGGACATCATCCAGGTATCCCGCAAACAAAGAGGGGGAATTTGGGATATGACATTTCAGACACTTTGACAGTTCTTCACATACTCTACCCCAAAATTCCTGGAGAGGTGGACAGGACCACAATGTGTGGATGTAATTGTCAGGAATGTTGTTTGTGCAGTGTGTGCAGGTGTCAGACGACACAAACCCCATC